CTTTTTTACAACCAACATAATAAATCAAACATAAATATTCCTGCACCCTCAATCACCATGTTTTCCAAACCACCCAAACCAGAAGTCTCTTAATTTATACCACAGAGTTCCTCACAGCACCAGAACAATACTACATCTTCTCAGTTCTAACATGGAAATTTAGCAATTAAACCAGAATACCAAAAAGAGAAGTAAAAAGAAAAAAACAACAGTAACACAAGTAACCTTTTGGCCACTGGGCGAGAACACTCTCCTTTAATGTTGCAATACTAGTAGCTGCAGGAAAACTTTTGGGGCCAATATCAGAGCCATCAGTCAACCGAAACTTGATCTCAAACTGATCTTGATTCCCAGCCATGTTCAGAGATCCAACGAACTCGTGTAGTTAAAAGAAATATTACAGCTTCAGTTTTACGTCAAATATTATGAAAAATAGGTTTTCCACTGATCAATTCCTTCAGCTAAGTTTCATCAGTGAAAAACAGGATTTCATTCAAAGCCAATCTTGTGAGTTCTGCAAAGTTCAGACACAAAAGAAAAGATTGAGTTAGAGCCCTCTCATGCACGCATCCATGCTCACTAAACATATGGGAATCTATTATATCAGGAAAAATTTGGAGAGGTCTGAAAACTTCTTACGAAAAAAATTGTTTAATAAGAATATGAACGAAGAAATCGTGAATAACTGAGGTGGATACATCTTCTCACAAAATAAAAACAATTTACAAAAAAGGGTAATGAAATTGTTGAAATCCAACATCATAACATAATTCAACACACTGTCGCCAGCCAAAAAATAGAGAGAGAATCTCAAACAGCTAAATCAAGAAGAGATCCAATCTTGAAATGGGTACGCATCAAACAAGAAAAAAAAATCTCGAATTTTCAACTGGGTCACCTGCAAAACAAGCAAGGATTGAGAAAAGGAAGAAAAAAAAAGAACAGATTATGGAAAAACCTGAGTTTTTGTTGATGTGGGGTTTCTTAGATGGGTATGTGCGTCACTGATCTGAGGGGTGAATTGGCTTTTCACTTTTGGGAAAACCCAAATGGAAGACGAAGAACAAGAAGAAAAAGGGAAAGTGGATGCTTTATTTTATTTTGGTTGGTTTAGACAATAATAATAATAATAATAATAAAAATAATAATAAATAAATAGTGAAAGAGAAACAAATAAATTAAATAAGGTAACAAGGAAGGAGGCTTCTTCGGAATTTTCAAAGTCATTGCAAATCTTTG